AAGTATATGCTGCATATATAGATATATGAATAAGTATGTCACAAATGTCATAAATATGCCATAAAATCTACAAGCGTTATTTTTTCTTGTTGTTGTTAAAGAGTGTTTTATGCTTTATTTTTATTAATTTGAGGTCTCTTTTTTCACTTTCTTTTGTGAGCCACTGTCAAGATTTGCCGACAAGAGTAGCATTATTATTTGAGAACATGTTGTTTTGTTTTGTATTCCGAATCACTTAAGCCATAAAAGAAAACAATTCCACCGATTTCATTTATTTTTTCAGACAAGCTCCAGTTTTTCAACAAGCTTGTTAACAATAATCTATTTATGGCGATTTCTAAATTTATCTTAAGTGGTTTTTATGAGTCAACAGATTAATTTAAGTTCTTAAAGCATTTTGAGCACTATTTTTGTGGACTTTTAGTAGTTTAGTTAGATTTTTTTTTATCAAAAATTTGATTTTTATGATTTTTTTAGTTTAGATTTGTTTGCTTTATATAATTTTCTTCCTTGAATACGATCGAAAATAACGTCTTTAATAATAATATTATTAACGAATAAATATTATGTTGGGGAAAAATATATCCATTATTTTTATATGAACTATAGGACTTTATTTAACATGCTTTGGAATGTCCGATTTGGGCCAAATGTGCACCATTTTGTTGTATGCTTTGTTGCCATTTTAAAGGTAACTTCATAATGCCTTTTTCAAAGAAGTCGTGATCGCTATTTGCAAAAAAAAAACTCTAGTAGTCGATTTTCACAAACCTCCCTAGATACCAATTTTTTATCATTAAAGAAATTTTGCAATGCAAGAAAAAGTTGATAATCGCTTGGTGCCAAGTCCAGACTGTGTGGTGGATGCATTAAAACATCCCAACCAAGCTCTCGAAGTTTCTGGCGAGTCACTGCAGATGTGTGTGGCCTAGCGTTGTCCTGGTAGAACACGACACCTCTCCTGTTGGTCAATTCCGGCCGTTTCTGGTCAATTGCTATCTTCAAACAGTCCAGTTGTTGACAGAAGAGATCAGCATTTAGCGTTTGGTCATATGAAAGCAACTCATAATAAATAATCCCCTTTCAGTCCCACCTAATGCATAGCAGAACCTTCCTGGCCGTTAATCCTGGTTTGGCCACCGTTTGAGATGCTTCATCGCTCTTTGACCACTACCGTTTTCGCACAGAGTTATCATCGAGCTGCTTTTTGAGTCCAGCTTTGTTTTTATGGTTTAAAACAGTTTTATGGTCAATTTTTAGCTCCAGGGCGATGTAACGACTGCTAACATGTCGGTCAACTTCGATCATTCCCTCGATTTTATCAACATTTACAAAAGTTTACATAAAATCGGACGAAAATATATATGGGAGCTACATCTATATCTGAAACGATTTCTACGAAACTTAACAAAGATCATTCTAGACTCATTTCAGTACACCATGCTAAATTTCGTGCAATTCAAAAGAAATATAGGCGCTCTAGTGCACAATTTATATAAAATCGATCGAAAATATATATGGGCCAATTTCAATAGGGTTCGTTCTTGGGCCAAATTAGTGAGCTGTAAGTGTTCACAAAACTTAGCAAACATCATTCTAGACTGAATTCAGTATGCTATGCAAAATTTCGTGGAAATCAAAAGAAATATAGGATCTTTTAGTGCACAAACACATAAAATCGAAAGAAAATATACATGAGAACTGAATCGATTTTCGCCAATTTCAATAGAGTTCGTCCTTGGGCCGCCAAATAAATGAGCTGTACAAAATTTCATTCAATTCGGATTACAAATGCGACTTGTACATTGTTTATAATTTAACAACAACAGACGGACATAATACCCTGTACCATAGTGTGGTGAAGGGTTCTCAATTACGATAATGATAATTGCCAGCAAATTTTTGGTGACAGTGACTCACAAAAGAAAGTAAAATACCTCAAATCAATTTAAAATATTTAAATGACAAAATAACAAAGTAAAATAATTCTTTTAAATTTATTTCAATTTTCATATTCTTGTTCATATCCTCAAATTAATTATTATTTTTTATTTTGTCAACACTTAAAAAAAAATATTTTGACATTTATTTTATGAAAATGTTTGGAGATAACGCCAATTACTATATGGGTATTGTAAAGGATTTTGGAGGAATCTTAAACCTATAAATTTTGTTTTAAATGATTCATTTTCAATGACATGGTGAAATATTGAATATCATGGCTGTGGCAAAATCCCATTTAAAATTAATTGTTATGCATTTTTTACCAGCCACTGACATTCATTGTGATTTCAATAAACCATCATATCTCTGCTTATACCTTTAGTTTATAAAATAACTAACTGCCTAGTAAAACAATAATTTCATTTAAATGTTAAGAAGTTAAGCCAGCCAAGTCATTACCAGGCTACCATATTTATTAGGACAGGCCGGCTTTTAAACTTTGGAAATTGCAACAAATCTTACTTTCATTGCGTTGTTGTGATGTTGTTGTTATTATTGGATTTGTCGATTTGTTTGTTTGTTGTTTTTTGTTCAAATGACATTTATTTTTATTAAGAAATCCGACTTGTTGTTGGTCATAGCAAAAATAAAATTCAAGTTTAGTGATTTAGCCAACAGACCGTAGCCAAGGAAAGTTTCATTAACCACAGACGAATGTACCGGCACACAAACAAACGCACACACACACACACACAATTACTCCCATACAACAACGAGTCACACAAATAATAATAATAAAACACTGGGCAAGATTCCAATGAATTGTCATATTTAAAGTCTAGATTGACAGCTTTCATTACAAATCAATAAAACCTCCGATTCATTCATACCTACCACACTCCACCCTACCTCCCTTTATTATTCTCTCAACTTGCCACAAAATTCAATTTGAAACCAAATAACAAAAAAAAAAATGTCCCAAAAGTCAGCTAATTATGACAATGGTCATAACCGCCTAATTATGGTTCATAAAAGTACAAAAGAAAGAAATTTGTTGTTAATATTAATTTTCATTCTTTTCAATTGTTTTTCTTTTTTTTTTGTAGAAAACTAAGTAGAAAATCTTAGATCGGAAATACCTTCTAATTCATGTAGGAATAGAAAGTTTCGGGGTTTTTTTCTATTTCTTTTTTGATTGCCTTTCAATCGGTTTTGTTTTTGTTGTTGTTGTAATCAATGTTGTTGTGTGCATTGGGAGAGTAGTGACCATGCTATTGATAGGTTTTTACCGACAATGCCGATCGATCGACCGACCGACCGACCGTTATGTGGCATTACATTACGTTGCGCCTATGTTTAGCTATGCGTAGCATTTCGACCATCATCGTCGTCACCATCATTATGCGTTTGTGGTAATATTTACGAGTGGTGGACGTTTTGGACGGGGTTTTGTCGTTTGTATGTTTTTTTTGTTGTTGTTTGTTTCCAACTACCAATCCAACTAATTTTGTTGCAGTTATATTTAGTGTCGTTGTTTTTATTGTTGTTGGTTTTAGTTTTTTCTTTTGAGAAAGTGTTTAGGTGAAATTCTTTAACTAATCGTTGTAGACATATTTATTGGACAAGCAAAACAAATAAATATATATTTATATAGGTAGGTATATTTGTTTGTTTGGTTGTGTTTGTATGTGTTGTTGTGTATTGGTCATATACATTGTATGATTGTTGTTTTTTGTTTAGTTTTCTGTCTGTCTGCGCATGCGTATTTTTCGGTTTCATTTTCTTTTCATTGAAAACTAGCAAAGGAAAGTCCACCAGTCCCCACCATAAATGTAATCCAATGGTCAATCAAGACAAGCTTCTTTTTTTTTTGATATTTTGTTGTGATTTTATTACACGATATTATGTTCAAGAGATTAAAAATCAAAAATTTAATTTGAAAATATTTGAAAAAGGGTCAGAACAATTTAATATTTGAAAATACTGAAAATGTAAGACACATGAAGGGAAATCATTAAAAAATAATTTAGAAAAAAAAAACAAATATTGAAAAACTTCACAAAAATGTAAGAAAACAGAGTCCCGAAAATTAAAGTGGGAAAAAATACAACAGGAATAAATTTTATATTAGGTTGGGGAAAAAGAAATCCATTAGGCCAGTCGTTGAAAATGTCGATAAAATCAGTAAAATTATCGAAGTTGACAGGCATGTTTGCAGTCGTAAAAAGGCCCAGGAGCTGAAAATCGACAATAAAAACAATTTACAAAAAGCTGGATTCAAAAATAAGCTCGATGTTTGGGTGTCAAACCAATTAACAGAAAAAAGAAAAACAACGACACTAAAATAACATACGATAACCCTCAGCATCTCAAACGGTGGCCAAACGGCCAGGAAGGTTCTGCTATGCATTCGGTGGGACTGGAAGGGGATTATTTATTATGAGTTGCTTCCATATGGCCAAACGCTAAATTTTGATCTTTACTGTCAACAACTGGACCGTTTGAAGATAGCAATTGGCCAGAAACGGCCAGATCTCGCCAGCAAGAGATGTCCAGGATAATGCTAGGCCACACACATCGACAGTGACTTGCCAGAAACTTCGGGAGCTTGTTTGGGAAGTTTTAATGCATCCGCCATACACCAACGATCCGTCACCTTGGCACCAAGTGATTATCATCTTTTTTTGCATTGTAAAATTTCTTAATGATAAAAAATTGGTATCTAGGGAGGATTTGAAAATCGACTGTTAGAGTTTTTTTGCAAATAGCGAGCAGGACTTCTATGAGAGAGGCATTATTAAGTTACCTTTAAAATGACAACAAATCATACAATACCAAGGGGCCCAAATCGGACATTCCGATGCATGTTAAGTAGAGTCATATAGTTCATATAAAAATTATGGATTTATTTTTTTTTCTCCAATCTATTTTAATTCACTATTTTTTATTCAACCGTAATGTTATAATTTGAAGAAGCATCTCATTTTCTTATTTTTATTATATTCTAATTTTATATATTTTTTACTAATTTATTTTTTTATATTTTTTTATTCCAGGTTGGGAATTACGTGGTCTATATTGTTACAAATATTTCAATATCAAACATTCGTGGGAGAAAAGTGCCGAACTCTGCAGAAGGTAAGTTGAATATGCAATCAATTCAAATTTCTATTTTTCTCTAAAAATAATTTCCCTAAAAGACAATCAGGAGAAGTGGAAATTCTAAACCAAAAACTTCAAAGTACCAAAAATTGGTGGGTACCCTTAGACTGGCGTTATACCTAAAAGATAATCCGATATTGATAATTTTGGATAACATTACTTTTTATCCAATTGGAATCCCAAATATCATATTTCAGTTCAATTTTCTACCGATTAATAACCCAAAATATCAAACTACAGTCAATTCGTTTAGAAAAGTTGTAAAAAATCTTTAATATATCTAAAATCGGAAATTTCTTAAAAAATCGAAAATATGGAGGTTACGGCTATATGTGGGGGTTATACCAAAAATGGATTACAGGAAGCTTTTCTAACCAATAATTACCTAAAATATCAAATTACAGCCAACTCATATAGTTTTCAAGTTCCTCTACTGGACGTTTGGGACGTTGATACCATAAGCTTGGTCTTCTCGCGATTTACTGTCAGTCCCACATTGGCAGACTCCTTCACTATTTGTTCAACGGTGGCTGTTACCGCTCGCAATGTTCGTTTCATTATGTCGATGCCGTCGTCGTAGGCGAGTAACATATGCAATTTGGTTTATAGAGTGCCATTTCTGTTCACATGTACATATCGGATGACCTTTTCCAGCAGGATGTTAAAAAGCTCACACAACAAACTGTCACCTTGTCTGAGTCCTCGTTCGGTATTAAAGGGTACCGAGAGGTCATTTCCGACTTTAACTGCTGACCTTGTACCAGTTAAAGTTATCCTGCATAGCCGTATTAATTGTGAGGGAATGCCAAACGCGAATATGGCTTTAAGCACCTCTGAGCGGATTTGGCTGTCGAATGTGGCTTCATTGTCGACGAATAAGTCGAATATGTCGATGCGTTTTTCGTGGGTCTTTTCCAGGATTTGGCGCAGTGTGAAAATCTGGTATATGGTGCATTTGTCAGGTCTCAAGCCGCATTGGTATGTTCCAATATTGTCATTGACCATTGGCTTCAGTCGTTCAGACAGCACTTTATATGCGATGTGAAGGAGACTTATTGTTTTAACATAACGTCTTACCTCATTTTTTGTGCATGGGATACCGGATGCTGAGGTTCCAATCATTGGGAATGCCCCTTCCTCTAGCCAAATTGTACTAATCAGTTAGTGCATGCTCCTGATCAGCGTCTGACCACCCTTCTTGAATATTTCGCCTGGCAATACATAGACACCTGCTGCTTTAATATTCTTCAGCCGATTAAATGCTATTCTGACCTCATCTTGGCTAGGTGGTATACAATATATACCGTCATCTCTTATTGGTTACTACTTGATACCAGAAGCTTTGCAAAATTCTCCTTCCAGATCCTCAACACGCTGTATGTATCTGTCACCAGGTTTCCTTCACACCTTCGTTTCGGTGTTTTACTCGTTGGTAAAATTTTCGTACTTCGTTCTGACTCCTGTACATTTCGCCTGGCTCCCGCTCACGTTTTTCTTGTTCTTTTTTGTGAAATTAAAATCTTAATTTCAAATATAATCCTAAAATATGGGTGTGGAGCTTATCTTCTAGAGAAAGAAGATAACAAACCTTGATTTTTCAATTCTTACTAAAAAATAATTTCGTATCAGAAGATTTGAAAATTTGTTATTATATCAATGAGTTTCCCATTTTGCCCATTTTAAAAATGGCTAATTATATACAATCTGAATCGCTTATAATGTAGCCGTTTATGACGGCGAAAAAAATCTGTCAACAGGCCTTTCCAACTTTTTTTTTTAATTTTTATTTATCGACGTGTTTTTGGTAAAATTCTACCCGGACGAGTTCAAGTTACTACAATCCTCCGTTTATGTTAAAAAACAATTCATTTATTAATAGGCAACATTTTCTTCTTTAAATATTACATACAAAATTGTGCACTCAATTGTCCGCCTCTCCTCTGCTATCTTGTTAACAAAAAAGTTCCCCTGGTAACCAATCTCTATGATAACAGATTCCAAAAAAATTGTCACTAATTGACGTGGAGCTTTTAAATCATGGTAAAATATATACTTTTTTACCAATTAGTCTTTTCGTATTTTGCATAAATTGTTGGGTACAATGAACCGTAGTATATACGTATAAGAGTTTGTATGTGTGTGTGTGTTTGTGAGTTGGATTTTTTTTCGGGGTAATCATTACCACCACCATTTGTTACTGCATGCTAATGAGATATAGTTGTGTGTACTCACGCATTTATTTACGTTTAGGCTTTCACACAGTTGACAGTTGCTGGTGTTGTTGTTGGCGATGTTTTTTGTTGATTTAACGAAAGTTATTTTCTTTTTGGAATTTGTTTTTTCTATTGGTCTCTTAATTTTTGTTGTAATGTTTACACAATTGTTAAACAATTGTCAGTTTGTCAGTTTTGTGTTAAGGTGATAAATCTACCTTGATGACAACATAGAGGGGAACAAAGCGGGAGGAAGATAATTTAAAAAATTCATAAATTAACATAAAATCTTAATAACAGCTTCAACGTCTTGGTTTTTTTTTTGTCAATCAGTGGTATAGCTAATCGTTGAATTTTATTTTTAACCTTGCGGTTTTAAAGTTTTTGCATTAATATTTTATGGTTTATGCATTATTATTATATATGTGTGTGTGGATGTGTGTTGGTGCAAAAACTGGTCTTATTTTAAATTGCAAATTTTATGTATATGATTATTTTGACCATGACTCATTGTAATACAATGAAACATTGATTTCAGTTTTGATTTGTTCGATTTGATTTCCTAGTAAAACCCCAAAATCAAAACTGTGACTCATTTCGTTTTGGAGAAAGTGGGGTTTGTTTACGCTCAACAATTTCTAGGGAATTATTTTGACATACTATTCTTAAAGGTGGTGGATTTTGTTACTTCGTTACGAAATATAGAAGTGTGTTTAAAATTTAGTCAAATAAAAATATGTTAAAACCGCTTAGCCCTGAGGAAAATACCAAATTCGGATGAAGCAGTCATATTTTTATATTTTCAAAATATGCATCCTGAAGAATATATTTACAAAAATGTTAATAAGGAACTTCGAAATTTTCCACATAAATTTGTAATATTTCTAAGATGTTTTAGTATTGAAAAAGCATTGCCATCTTACTCGAAGTAGTCCCTCTGTTAGTTTCGTTAACTTAGTTTTTATTTCAGCTAAATAGACGATTGGTCTGCAGTAGCATTTGCCAAGTGATGGGGTGCCATCTATCGTTGTCTAGAAACTATCCCTCCCTGAATTTTGTGCAATGGTTGCTGTCCTTGAGTATTTAGTCTTGCAATTTTCCTCTAGGTGGCGCTCTCATGTCATTTCTATTTGAGTTTGGATAATAGAATGTCAAGGTTCGACCAGAGAAAAAAACAATAGACGCGTCTTTTTAATTTTTTAGGGACCTATAATAATAGGCATTGATTTTTTATATCCTCCACCAAAAGATGGAGTGTATATTAAATTTGTCATTCTGTTTGCAACACTTCGAAATATTGATCAGAATAAAATTCTATGTCGATTTACGCATGTCCGACTGTTTTTCTGTTAAAATCACTATAGAGATCGCAATAATTAAGGTAGTGCTCTGAAATTTTGCACAGACATTGCTAGCACTCATAAGATATTTGGCATTGCAAATGGGATAAATTGGTCCACGTTTTTGTGCCCCCATTTATCGGTAACCCCCAATATTCGGAATATTGGACACATTTTCCAACCGAATTTGGTGTAATTTTGTATTTTGGGTTCTCATAGTATAACATATATGCCTACCAAAAATTATTAACATTAGCGCAAGTTTTAGGGTAGACCCCATATAACGGTACCCCCCCAATTTCGATTTTTTGGGGATTTCGGACATGTTTTCCAACCGAATTGGTTGTAATTTGTTATTTTGGGTTCTCATTGTGGAACACAACTTTGTACCAAAAATTATTAATATTGACCTAAATTTCAGTGTAGCCCCCATATAACGATACCTCCCAATATTCGGTATTTTGGGGGTTTTTGACACGTTTTCCAACAGAATTGGCTGTAATTTAGTATTTTGGGTTCTCATTATGTAACACATCTTCGTACCAAAAATTATTAATATTGACCTAGGTTTCGGGGTAGCTTCCATATAACGGTACCCCCCATATTAGGTGTTTTGAGGATTTTGGACACGTTTTCCAACCGAATTGGCTGTAATTTGTTATTTTAGGTTCTCATTGTGTAACACATCTTCGTACCAAAATGTTTTAATATTGACCTAAATTTCAGGTTAGCCCCCATGTAACGGTACCCTCCAATTTTGATATTTTGAGAATTTCAATTATCTTTTTCTCATGTATTTCGTTCGGTATTCTATTTCTATCATAACATAAGTTTTCTCCCAGGAGCCCCCATTAATTTTAGATATTTTTAATGTCATCCTCATGATGGCCACTTTTACTTGTTTTTAAATATTTTTGTAGGGTGCACCAAAAACTTTTTTTAAGAAATCTATAACATGGTCATCGAAAATCTGATGCAGAAGCCAAATATAGGCAGAATATGATACCAAGATTTTCCTAATTAAATATTCAATGAAAAAATCGGATGCATAATGTTCCCATTACTTTTCACTTTTTTTCTAATTAATGATTTTAGAAAATAGATTTGAAAAAAAGAATAAAGAAGTTTTCCCGAAAACTTTCTCCAGGCAACACACTATAAGACCTTTTATGCTAATAGCAAGAAAAACAATACATTCTCTTTGAAAAAATCAAAATAAAATCTAACACTGTTTTATCTTTTAAGTTAATCATATACCGAATAAAACAATACCCAAGAAATGCGAATAGCTAATAAAAAAATATTAATCACCTGTTGATAATAGGAAAATATAAGCGATAGATAACATAACCCATTTTTTTCATTTTCATAAATTCTTTCTCCAATATTCTATCATCATTGAAAAGGTGGTATCTCTAACTCA